TTTTGTAGTTGTCCTACAGTTAAGGCTAGTCAAAAAAAACTTTTTTAAGTCGTGGTTCTCTTTACTTTTCAGTTTTGGAAACTTCTATTTATTGCATCCTCATGCTACTCTTAGCTGAGCTGTGACCAGTCTGATAGCCCACCAAAGACATTCTTTATCTCTGTTACAGTGTTTTTGATCTCTAACAGTTCCTTTTGATTCTTATAATTTCCATATCTCTATTTTCAATATCCATCTGTTCTTGCAGGTTGTCTACTTTTTCCATTAAAATCCTTAGTATGTTAATCAAGATAATACCAAGTATTATCTTGATTCCTAAGCCAGGCAAAGATATCATAAGAAAAAAGAAAACTGCAAGGCAGTAACTCTGACATTCATGCAAAAATTATCAATAAAATATTAGCAAATCAAATTCAACAATACATCAAAAAGATTCTACAGTATGATCAAGTGGGATTTACCCGTAGCAGGCAAGACTGGTTTAACATAGGTAAGTCAATCAAAGTGACACATCACAGACTGAAAGACAAAACCACATGATCATCTCAATTGACACAGGAAGTATTCAACAAAATCCAACATCCTTTTTTGATAAAAACTCTCAACAGTTTGCGTATACAAGAAAAGTCCCTCAACATAAAAAAGGTCATTTATAAATGACCTTTGGCTGAGTCCTCACCCCACCCATGGTGTTTTAAACTCTCAGACAGGTCCCTATGGAGCCTCTAGTAATTTACCAATTACAGTTCAGGTTTTCCTGCCTCAGCTTTTGTTTCCATGGAGGGTTCTACTTACGGGTTTGCTCCTGTTAAGTTGTGACTCCCCATATTCACCTCTCTCTCTACTGTGACCTCAGTTTCGACAAATCTAAAAAGAGTTCTTGATTGTACTTCAGTTTGTTTGGCTTTTTACTGTTGTTACAATGGAGTGGAGACTTCTAAGCTCCTTACACACTGGACTGGAAACAGGAAGCCTGCCCATTCTTTTTTATTTCTGTTTTCCAGGGTTTCTTGCATAACTTTTGAATGTAGGAAGAACTCAAAGGCTTTTAAAAATTTGTTGAACATTTTTGGTAATAGCTTATATATAAATAAATAAGCACCTTCTAACCACCAGGCACTCTTCTAAGTGTGTTTACATATATAATCTCATTTAAACCTCACAGAAACTCACACATAAATACTGTTTTTATTCTTGTTTTATAGACAAGGAAGCCAAAGCGCAGAGAGTTTAAGTTTCCTGTCTCAAAGGAGCATAGCCAGTGAGTGGCATAACCAGAACTCAAACTCAAGATGTGCAACTAAAGAACATGTTCATAACCACCATACTGTATTAACCAGATAACTCCTAAAAGTCCTGATCATGTTTTGACCTCATTCAGTCACAAAGAATTCAAATAGTCCAACAGATTGTTTCTCATTCTAGTTATTTTGGAAACTGCCAATATGATATTTCAATTTACCATCCAAACATCTGAAATTACTGAAAGGAAAATTTGAGTATGCACCTCCTGTATATCATTGTAAGAAAAGGATTATGTTTTCATGTAGTTTACATAGAAACTAACATAGTTTACAGAGAAGCTAATTTTTATATAAAAACTACATGAAAACATAATTCTAGAAACCCAGGAAGGTCTTCCTTCAACCATTAGAGATGCTCCTCACTGGCTAAAATGAATCCAGTGCTCGAAAAAGATCTCTACTTCCTATGAATAGAAACCGGCATGCTATTTTCTATGACAAATTAGTACCGAGTCTTACATAAATATGACTTTAATGGTACTAATGTTTTAAGCCAACCTAGGTTGTTCTGATTCCTGTTCTGAACATTGAGGTTCAACATCATTAACAGACAAGCCAAAGATAATCACTATCCTGAGGGCTTTGCCAGCTGCGTGAGTGAACATGCTGTCTGTTTTAGCATCAGCCACTTTTTGGTCTGCATTAGATTGATGGCATATTTTGTTCTGTTTCTTTATGGAAATATGGTTTATCTATACCAATAAACTCTTCTTTTTCTAGCAACCAATTCAGAGTTGAAAAGTTTATGCCGGGCACGGTGGCTCACGCCTGTAATCCCAACAATTTGGGAGGATGAGGCGGGCGGATCACTTGAGGTCAGGAGTTTGAAACCAGCCTGGGCAACATGGTGAAACCCCGTCTCTACTAAAAATACGAAAAAAAAAAAATTAGCCAGGCATGGTGCCATGTGCCTGTAATCCCAGCTATTGGGGAGGCTGAGGCAGGAGAATCGCTTGAACCTGGGATGCGGAGTTTGCAGTGAGCCAAGATCGTGCCACTGCACTCCAGCCTGAGCAACAGAGTAAAACTCTGTCTCAAAAAAAAGAAAAGAAAAGAAAACAAAAGAAAAATTTAGAAAATATTGGATTCTGATTTTATTGGAATTTATAGTGGTAGGTCTAGGATACATGGGCAAGAGAGACAGAGATGTTTAAATATAAAAATGCAGGTTCATCGCTAATCAACATATTCTCCTTTATCAATCAAAACATAAAGAGAGTTTATGTCATCAGGTAAGCTGTTTGTTCCACCCTATCCCCACACGGCTGACAAAGGAATCATATTCTAGTTAAATTTGTACAGTGAGGCCAGGCGTGGTGGTTCATGCCTGTAATCCCAGCACTTTGGAAAGCCAAGGCAGGTGGATCACCTGAGGTCAGAAGTTTGAGATCAGTCTGACCAACATGGAGAAACCTCGTCTCTACTAAAAATACAAAATTAACTGGACATGGTGGCACATGCCTGTAATCCCAGCTACTCGGGAGGCTGAGGCAGGAGAATTGCTTGAACTCAGGAGTTGGAGGTTGCAGTGAGCCAGTTGCGCCACTACACTACAGCTGGGCAACAAGAACTCCATCTCAAAAAAAAAAAAAAAGGTTTGTACAGTGAGAAAATATATCTCCCAAGGGTGCAAATAACACATACCGAACTTCCTTATCTGCTCTCCTCTCAAAAAAACTCACTCTTTCCATTCCTTAACATCACATTACAGAACATCATCTTTAAGACATGAATGCTAACCTCTCTCTGGTTTAACAAATTTGTGGATAATAAGCACCTAATGGATTATGGACAGGTTTATAGACATATTTTTGATACAGCACTAATCATTCATTCATTCATTCCTGACATCTGCTCCAGGCTGGTGGTGGTATGGGTGTCAGACTGAGAGTCTGCACATTAGAGTGTGCCATGTACAACTATGGGGGTAAAGACAATGCATTCCGAGAGCTCAGAGAAAAGGACAAACAGCAGTACCTTCTGGAGGTGCTCTGAGAAGGCCTGAAGCAGCAAGCACTAAGGGTCACTACCTGCACCCAAGTAAACCAAACACAAGGATGGCTGAAATGCTGGCCTGACCTAGTTAAACCCTTTCTTTCCTAGAAAGTAAGTATATCATCAAGTTTTGCAGGTTTATAATGGGTTTGTAGACTTGGCATAGCATTGGTCTCAGACTATTTTCAACAATGGTTATGTGTCCAACACTGTACTAGGAGCAGGATCCGAAAATGGGCCTCCTAGGTCTGGCATATTCTAAACCACAGTCTAGTTAGGGTGCATTGGCCAGGGACTCCCTGGATGGTATTGCAGATTGTGCACTGAATATTAATAAGAGACACCATTCCTAATACAGACATTATAGAAATGAATATTCATCATGCCAGCAAATGGCAGTAAAGAGTCTGGTTTTAACTAAGGTAAAACCTTAGTCAGGACAATTTCTGAAAGATGGAAATAAAGTATCTTGAGGAGAGGATGCCTTTTTTCTAATTCATTCAAAAATCCTATGGGCAGCTGACTGCCCTGTTTTTTGTTCATTCAAAAAAGGATATAGGGAGGAAGTGGATCACTCAGTGGTGGTCTCCCCAATCATTAGTACAGGCATCCTTCAGAGTTGCCCCAGAGACGATCCCTCGGGCAAAGGCTAACAGCACTGGAGGACCAGAGGAGGAGCTGAGAGTGTAGTACGAGGAAAGAAATAATACACAGGATGACTTTCCCCATGTCACTTGCTCTTGGTGTCCTCCCTCCCAGTGGGAGTTCTAGGGCCCATGCCTCTTTGCCTGAACCTCCAGGGCTCCTTTTCTGTGACCTCACTCTCCACTGGCACCTCCAGCAGCAGAGGCAGAGCATTTCAACCAGACAGCATAGTGGCTTGACTTGACCTACTTCCAAACAAGGACCCTTTCTCATTCATCATTTCAACCTCACAGCCTAAGGAGAGACTCAAAACACTGTGGCTGGGTAAAGTAAATGAATACAATCATTAGGTAAAATGCATTTTTAGAATAACCAGTTGATTTCATTTATCCCTGACGTCACTGGGATTAAAGTGACAAAGCAATACGTAACAGAAATCTGGCTCTTACACACGGTCAGTCATCTTTTTGGCTCTGCAACTCTTCCTTTCTCAAGAAAGGATGAGAAATGGTATGTGACAAAGGGAACTTCATTTTAAGGAATGATCAGGGGAAAGTGGTTAAATTATTTTATTTTATTTTAATTTAATTTTTTTGAGTTTTTGCTCTGTTGCCCAGGCTGGAGTGCAATCTCGTCTCACTGCAACCTCTGCCTCCCAGGTTCAAGTGATTCTCATGCTTCAGCCTCCCAAGTAGCTGGGATTACAGGCACCCGCCACCATGCCCAGCTAATTTTTGTATTTTTTAGTAGAGAGGAGATTTCACCTTGTTGGCCAGGCTGGTCTCAAAATCTTGACCTCAGGTGATCCACCCACCTCAGGCTCCCAAAGCACTGGGATTACAGTTATGAGCCACCACGACCAGCAAAAGAGGTTAAATTAAAAGGAACAATATAAAACTTTGAATTGGAAATCAAACAAAGAAGGGGTTGGTATTTATGTTAGTGACACATCATAAAAGTTTAAAAAAAAAAAAAAGGCAGGACTCAAATTACAAATCACCTCTGCTCTTGGTAATCTGAAAGTTCCTAAAATAACAACTGAAGTAGCTCTCTTACCTTATAATTATTCATGATTTCAGTTAACCATGGCTTAACTGACTGTACTGTATCTTCTCGCAAGTACTTTTCAACTACAGTTCCATCATTAAAAGTCCGATTTCCCACGTGGATGGCTTGTCTCACCTCTGGGAGTGACAAAAGTTTCACATAGTAAAGCTGATCCTCAGGTTCCTGGCGGAAGGGGGCATTGGAAAGACATAGGGAACGTGATTGGTGGCAGGAACAGCACGTTGGGAAAAGCTGTGAATGTCTCATAATATACAACAGGAACAAATGTGATGGGACTATTAACTTGTCGCCATTCTTGAAATTTTAACTCAGAGGTTTCGAGGTAATTTAGGTGGAATCTTTTTACTAACGGGAAGTCTGAATGACGTGATACTCTTAGAGCAAATACAGGATTTTCCTTTGCAGAAACTAATATTTTGCAATCTGTGACTCCCATTAGCAACCCCTCTAGAGGCAAAGATTGAGAAAACAAAAGAGGTGAGATTATCAAAATCGATTCACTCCTTGTTGGTGGTTCTTTGGAGAGAAGGTCAAATGGATCACAAGGGCCAGGGTGGTGGCATGCTGGATTTAAAGCCAAGAATTTCTTTTCTGTGGTCTGCTGTTTATTAAAACCACACACACACAAAATTGGATTAACTATAATAAAGGGGAAAAGATGTCAAATGTGAAAAGAGATGATGCTTTATGAAGGACACAAGACAGAAGAAAAGTTGTCCATGAAGCTCATTTAAAAAAAAAAAAACTGCAACAAAGTCTCTGTAATAATCATTATACTGAAAGAAAGGAGTAAATGTTTTTTTAAAAAAACAGTTACACAAGGATTTAAAAAACTGTTAAAGTTTGAGTTTGACAACTCTGTGCTTCATCAACAACGTTTGCTAACTATGAATATATTATGTTGTAAAGAAAAAAAGATATCACAAATTTTGTTTCTGTCTTGTCTACCACATGTTTTTCTCTTGGTAGAACCTAAATCCAAAACTGCAGCACTGGCGAATTCCACTGAAACTAACATACTTTATTTACAAACTAGTTCATAAATCAGGCAATTTAAAAAACAGAATGCATTGTCATAAGCATTAGACAAAGATTATACAAATTCAAACACCTACTTTGGCTCCTTCTGTTTGACTAATTCTACACAAAAGATACCAACTTTGGTCTACTTTTATGAAACAAACTACTTGAATACTTTGAGAAATATTCTAGAAGGCTTGAAGTAAGGGCCATACTAAATGCATTAAACCTCTTAAGTTAAAAGTAAGACAAAGCAAATATTTTCATTAAGGCTTTGGCAGTTTTGATTATCCAAGTGTCTTAAGTACAGAACAAAGAATGTGGGCATTTTCAAGAGACTCATAAACAGACTTGAAGCTCTGGGACCTGAGACCCAGAACTCCAATCCCAGCCTGTGTCCTTCACAAAAAAGCCTCTATAACAAGCTCTACTGGGGGGAAATTATGTTAACCAGAAGTTGTTTTGAGTTATCTGAAATATCACACATTCTCAGTGGTCAGATTATAACATATACAACACTGATGAGGAAAAGATCCTACGGGTTAGTAGACCACATCACGCAATACAGTTTGGACATGCTGGTCTAGTATAAAGTCATCTATAATATTTCCCAAATCAAAGGAAGTTCGGTTTTGCCAAAAGTTTTAAGCAAACATTATTATGGTTTTTAAAATGTTGTCATTACCGTGCACCGCAAAAAGTTATAGTAATTACTACATCCTGTAACATTCTGGAAGTAAGAAGGATCACTTGTTAAGTCGCCGTCTAGTAGTTTATCCAGTATCTAGGTTGGGAGAGAGGGAGAAAGAGAGAAAGAAAACATCAGTGTGGGTAAAAATGTACAGACATTTGTCATTTCCTTTATTCAACAACTTTTTCATTCCTCTATTGTTTCATCCAGCACCCACTTATTGTGCATATTCTCTGTGCTAGACACTGCCATGGCACTGGAGAAACAGCCATCAACAAAACAGACCAATGGTCCTCCCCCATAGAGCTTTCATTCTAGGCGGGGGACAATAAGCATTTCTAAGTAAATTACATCATGTGGTAGACAGTGACAAACTCTTGAGTATGTTAGGGAATGGTAAGGAGAAAACTAAAGAGGAGTAGGAAGTATCATGCGTGTGCATGTGTGTATGGGACACTGTGGAGAGGAGGTCACAGAGGATCTCACTTAGAAGGTGACATTTGAGTAAAGACATGTTGGATGAGAGGAATAAAGCCACGCAGACATCTAGGGGAAGGAAGGTTCCAGGCAGAGGACACAGCGAGCTCAAAGGCCTTGCCTATGGAAGTAAACCTTGTGGGAAGGGTGCCTTAACATGGATCACGAACTGCTCACCAGATGACATGGAGAGAAGACGCAGGATATGGTGCAGCTCCAGGTTTCTGGAGCTGGTAGAAGTTATCTTTGGGCTGACATTAAAAAACCCAGTCACCAGCTGAGGGGGAGAGCAATCAGCATGGTTGCATGCTTTCCTCCAGCGATTGTCAGCTGCATGGAGGCAAGCACAGCCTGGCAGAGGGGGAGATTGAGCCAGGGCTGTGGTTCAGCCAAAGGAGTCGGAAGAAGTGCCAAAGAGGTTTGGGCTTGGAAATGTATGGGATGACTGACCCTGGGTTGAAGACAGGTAATTAGAGAAATGGAGACTTCAGGGTGTTAGAGATAGTGGAGAGGCAGGAGGATCAATGGATTGAAAGGTAGTGAGGTTGCAGGGCTGTAAGACTGGTACATTAGCGGAAGAGAGCTAGGACAGGAGGTGGTAGTTGGAGAAAGATGTTTGAATGTGTGATTGTGGATCAGCTGCCAGCTTTTTAGGGTATGAGAATCAGCAGCTAAGATGAAGAGGAGAACATGATCATTGAAAAACAGAAGGCTGAGGCACCAAGGACCACATCCTAAAAGGATCATCAATGTGGATCCTGCAGTTACCAGGAATTATGACAAGAATAATGCTGGAGAGAGCGACAGGGAGGAAGGAGCTCAGCTATTCAAATGAGAGAGAGTAACCAGGGGTTGGTAGACAGACACAATTGGAAGTGGTCAGAGGCCCTGTCTGAGGACAGGAGAGTCAAAGCTCAATGCTTTAGGAGGAGGCAGGGAACATGATCTGAAAGTCACATGATAAGCAAGGAAGACACCTACTCCACCTATGAACCAAGAGATACAGAGAAACTAAGAGAGAGAACAGCCCCCACTCAAGAGGACCACAAGGAGTGCAGCATCATCAGGGGAGAGCCAGGTTTCCGGCAAAGCAAGAGGCTGAAGACATGGAGGGGGGTTGTTGATGATAATATTACATTGTAAGGAGTTCTTATGAAAGGATTCTAAGAAATGAAGTCAGCACATCTTAAAAACAATCTATCAAGTACAAAGTTAGGTCTCTTATCAGATATGGTATTATTATTCTAATTTTATGGGTGAGAAAACTGAGACACATGAGTTTAAGCAACTTGCCGAGGATACCCCACTAATAACGTCAGAGGTGAGATGATCAGGCCACAACTCCTGAGCCTGTACACTCAACCACGCACTCACTGGCTCCCAGGAGTCAGCCTGCAATGCTTCCTACTTGCCAATTCCTTCTGGCCATGTTTCAATGTTTGAGAAATAGTCTCATTATTGTATTCATATTCTCTTTTTTTTGAGACAGAGTCTCGCACTGTCACCCAGGCTGGCGTGCAGTGGTGAGATCTCAGCTCACTGCAACTTCTGCCTTCCACATTCTAGCAATTCTCCTTCCTCAGCCTCCCGAGTACCTGAGACTACACGCGCCTGCCACCATGCCCGGCTAATTTTTTTTTTTTTTGTATTTTTAGTAGAGACGGGGTTTCACCATGTTGGTCAGGCTGGTCTTGAACTCCTGACCTTGTGATCCACCCGCCTCGGCCTCCCAAAGTGCTGGGATTGCAGATATAAGCCACCGTGCCTGGCCTGTATTCATATTCTTTTTCAAACGTGAAAGGACTTATTCAAGTTCCTATTGCCATGGGGAGAGAGGCCAAGAATGAAAAGGGTTATCGCCGTAGAAGGCGGTGTGGGTGGAGGTGGTAGTAAGTATTCTCTACCAATGCTACCATTGCTCAGGGCCCCACATCTGGTTGTGCAGCTCCATGGCGATGCCTGTGGCTAAGGGGTGCGAAGGGACAGGGAACCAGCCAAAGTTCTGCTTGCTGAGCTGGACAGCCTGGTTCAGGGCTGCATCTGGAGAAGTGGCCACCTCTTATCCTCACACAATGGAGGCATCTGCTTGCCCAGTCCTGAACCCACAGGACTGCATCACCACAGAGGAGCTTTTTCTAATCTGTTCACCCAGAGGGGGCACCATAGGCCAGGGTCATTCTGAATGCACACATCATTTCTGAAATTCATTGTTAGAAATAATCTTCAACACCAATGGGAAAATAAAATATAAATTCAACCTTGAAGAATAACTTTGCTTTTAGAAAGAGTTAAAAGTCATTTGTTGGCTGGTCACGGTGGCTCACAGCTATACTTCCAGCACTTTGGAAGACCGAGGTGGGCAGATCACTTGAGGTCAGGAGTTTGAGACCAGCCCAGCCAACAAGGTGAAACCCCATCTCTACTAAAAATAAGAAAAATTAGCCGTTCATGGTGGTGAGTGCCTGTCATCCCAGCTACTCGGGAGGCTGAGGCAGGAGAATCGCTTGAACCCAGGAGGTGGAGCTGCAGTGAGCAGAGATCTTGCCACTGCACTCCAACCTGGGCAAGAGAGCGAGACTGCATCTCAAAAAAAAAAAAAAAAGTCAGTTGTTGTCAAAAAATAACATGGGTGGTTAGGACCTGTGAAGTTAAGAACTTTGTGATTCAGAAAATCATCATGGAAAAGGAGGTAATACTGGACAGCGGATCAGCCATTTTATATCTTGCAGAATATCTAAGACACCCCAGGATTTTTATAGAATGCCTGCAAATTACCATAGGAGAAATACTGTGGTGGAAATGCGGGGAACAATTCCAGTCCTCAGCCTGCCACAATCCATTTGTGTATCCTTTGGCAATTCACTGCTATCCTCTGAGGCTCGGCATCCTCTCCCCTCACCAGTAAGTGTGTGTGTGTGTCTGTGTGTGTATGTGTGTGTGTCTGTGTGTGTGTGTGTCTGTGTGTGTGTGTCTGTGTGTGCATGTAAATGCATAGGGACAACAGATGACCTATCTCTAGAGTACTCTCCAGCTCTGAGTTACTACTCTTTGATTCATTAAATCATTTTAAAGGATCAGAGCATTAAACAGGCTTTATCATTTTAGGCTTGAGATTCTGACATTTATATTCCCTTGGGTTTCAGGATTTGTTGGAGTCTTCCTTTGCAGTCATTGAAACACATTTCAACTACAAATTGTTTACTGTCCTAAGTATCATTTTATCTATTTTCCTTGAAAAAGCAAAGGTCTTGTTTTAATTCATCACTCAAGATGTGGGACCAATGGTCAAAAAGACATTCCAAGCCTTCAAAGGTTTTGCCTGCTTGGGGTTCCGGTTTCTGATGTATCCGGTTTGGGATAGATTCTAACCTCATGGGTCACGTTCTCATTATCTCTGAATACACAACATACCTGAACTTTTCTACAGCTTCACTAATCCTGTAGGTGTTTAGCCTGCTACATTATGTACCAGTCATCTTTCTGCTTTTTTTTCTCAATATGAGCCTCTCAAATGCTCTTGCTCTTGATATTGCTTTATCCCTGTGTGCTTCTTTAAAAACATATCAAATGTTTCATTTGCAAATTGGTCTCATGCCACATAAAATTTGATATTAATTCTAAATACTGAAATTTCACTCCTTTGTCCCCTCTCTGACTACCACAGCAGAAAGTCTTGAAAATAATATCATTGCAAGTGGAAGCATGATCCTACATGTCCCCCAGGAGATCCCTCTTCCTTTGTGTTTACAATTACACAAGAAATTCTGAATCCACACTTTGCAGCCACATTTAGTGTCCTGACTCAGAGAAAGGAGAGCCTGGTGGAGCTCTGTAGGATGGCTCAGGACTCCCTTTGCTCCAACCATTTGCACAGCTAGCTGCTATCAGAATTCACAGCAAGGGTGGCCACTGCCTTGGTAGATTTCTGATAGTGTCCCGATACCCTACTTGTAAAATGAAAAATAACTTTGTGTTATCCTCCACCTTCTCTCCAAGGTTGCATGTCTCCTATTTTGATCTGAACTGGCTGATCAGCAGTGCTCTTAAGACTTAATATCAGATTTCTGCTTTAATAACAATAACAACATTAGATATACTGTTACAGAATGTGTCTAATAACAAACAAATTAAAGCTCTCAAAATTCAGACCTTGCCTCATTTACTACTGTGTCAAACACGATGGCTCTATAGTAAATGTGGCAAAAAGCCTCTCAGGGAGATTGTTTACACATAGCTCTGTCTGCATTGTCCAAAAAAAACAAAAAAACAAAAACTTCCTGTATCCTAATATTTAGTATATTCTTACCCTTTAAATAACCGAGAAAGAAAAGAGTGAAGAACATAATTATTTATTCTCAAGTTTAATTTTAGGTGACCAGTGTAAGGATATGCACAAATACCAATGCCCCTTTGTAAGAGTTTCAAATTACTACACTTTACGATCTTTGTTCCCGACACGTGTGTCACATGTCATTTGTTACACACTGTGGTCATTTCTCCCAGCTGAAACCCTGTTTGTGGATATAAAACTCTTCTACATGGTTTAGAGCAGATGGTGAAGCATATGCCTCTACTTCCTGGGTTGCCTTTCTTCTGATTTCCATATGATAGGGTCTGCCTTGAGGGCCTCCACAGTATTTAAAGAAATCAAAACAGTTAATGAAAGACACAGTTAGATAAACACTCCAAGATGATCTCAGGCTTAAAATATAGCCAAAGTAAATTCAAAGGAACACAGACAGTCCTTTTCTTTATTATAAGGCCACTCAACTCGCCTCCCGATCTCGAATGGAATAACAGAGATATACCTTCTTAACAAAAAAACGCCTGAGCACCAAGGTGTTCCTACTGACCCGCCCCCTCCCCAGCTGGTTTTAATTGCTCAAGGGCAGCACAAGGCCCCTAGAACTCACTTCAAAGGCCTGAAACCAGTTCTGCTTCCTGATGTGTTCTATGCATTCGTGGCACTGCTTCTGGAAGTACTTTTTCTGCTTCTCATCCAACAAGCCAATTTGGTACAGGAATGCTGCATAGCCCCCTATAATCTGAGGACAAAAAAGACACACATCAATGCCACAAAGGGAGAAAAAGAGACCTTAAGGAAGCCCATTTGCTTGGTGAAATAATCCTTTGTAATTGTTAATCTTGTGCTGGTTAGCCAAGTAGGATAATTACATGCACACACATATACACCCCACAACACACACAACAGAACACAACACAATACACACACACGTATATTTGCACTGACAGCCAATGTAAGCTGACACAGTACATCGATACGTTGAAACATTTGGTAAAAATTAAGAGATTTAAGTCATAAAGTCAACCGGTATTTCCCTTATCAAGTTAGACCTCTAAAAGGAGCCTTCCATCTGATAAAAAGGCTTTTAATCTCCCTAAGAGACAAAATAGAAAGTCAAAAGGAGACACCTACTGATTCAGGATCAGAATATCCATCTCCAATAGCAATTCCTTTCAGGTTGATCTTCTCCTCCTTCACCGGGTTGAGGGAATGGATGAGGTGTGCAATGGCTGGCACATATTTCCCTGCGTAAGACTGAGAAGGACAGATGTTGAAATGGCCAATCACAAATGGATGCTAGTAAAATTAAATGTACTTAAGTTAATTAAAATCACAATGAAGGAGCAATCTTTCCACATGAGGTATACTGTTTCCTAACCCCGCATTACAGATTCCATAATAGCAAAAACCTCTATCTTCCAATTCTTTTGTCGTCTCAAATAGCACCACATGACATGCACAGGTTCGATGCTCAAAAAATCACAAGTGAACATGTAATAGTGAACATTCTAATTTCCTTCCAAAATAAAATAACTTGGGAGAACACAATTCTGCCATGTGTTAGGCGTCTCTTACCAGAAAGCTCTATTCAAAGATTAGAGGGGAAAAAAATCTCAAGTTCAAAATTAAGATTTCAAAATCTGATAATGCTGCAAATTTTGAAATCAACATGTACTAATGGAATACATGTTCCATTAGTAGAAAGGAAAATAATATTTACTGCCACTAAAATTTTCACTTAAACTCATCTCTATTTCCAACCTTTTCTAGCACAAGGTCCTTTTTCAAGGTCAAAATATTTTGTAGATATCCTTCCCCCAACAAACGTGATAATAGTTCTACTTTTAGACTGTGCTGGAAGAGCTACTATTGACTCAGCAATATTTTTCAAATAATTTTGCATTTTGCATTCTTTCCATCAAAAGTTGCCTTCTTGATATCTCCACTTGTATGTCTAATATTAAACTGCAGACGTTCAAAATAAAGCTCCCAATCCCCAACCCTGAGGCAGCCTCCCTTTCAATTCATGTTAATTCTGTTTTTCTGCTGCTCAGGCCAACAATCTTGGTGCCATTCTTTATATCTCTCTTTCTCTCATATTCCACAAAAGTCAATCAGCCAAGCTTGTCAGCTCTACCTATTCTATCAAAATCTGTCCAGAGTCCAATGTCTTCCACAACCCCTTCTCCATCACATCATCTCTGGCCTGGATGACTGCAGTAGCCTCCTCATTGGCCTCCTTCTTTTGCCCTTATCCTTTAATGACTTCCCATCTTCCCAAAAGCAAAGGCATAAGGGCTAGCATGATCTGCTCCATTCTCTACCCTCAACCCCTGCTACCCTCTTGCTCATTCCTCTCCAGCCCACTGGGTTCCACACTATTCCTCGCACATACCAGGCACATGCCTGCCAGGCCTTTGGACTAGCTGTTCCCTCCACCTGGAATGCTCTTCTCACAGGCATCCATATATATGGCAAATTCTCTCAATTTCCTATATTTTTTCTTTCCTATTTCCTTAATACTTATCATTCTCCAACAAACTTTTACTTACTTATCTCATATACTGTTATGCTCCTACCCATACTAAAATATAAGATCCGTGAATACAGGGACATTTGTCCGTTTTGTTTACTTGAGTCCACTATGACTGATGCGTGTATTTGTTAGTGCTCAATAAATAGTTGTTGAATGAATGAATCTTAAAATGAATCCACAGACACCTGAAAAAGAGCAATGCATCTATGTTCAAAACAGACTAGAGACACTATGTGGATACCTGTGAGTTCACAGAATCTCCAAGGCTCTCCAGGGGGTCTGTAAGTTCAAAGGCTGGGAACCCCTGAAAGCTCTTATTTTATCCATACCATAATCATATGCTGAAGATATCATTACTCCCATTTCCAGATGAGGACACTGAGGCTCAGAGAGGTTAAGTCGTAGAGCCAGAATTATACCTGAGCTGACTGACTCCAAAACCTAAACTCCTTCCAAGCAATGATAAAAGAAAGCCATTAATGTAATTTATCCAAGATCTCCTCATTGATGCAGCTCTCTTGTGCAATAATAATTATTTAGACAAAGTATTGAATCAAAGCAATTTATCCATTCATACTTGCAAGTATATTTTAGCTTCCTTGTGTAATATAAAGATATGTCCATATGTCTGAAATTTGGTTTGTTGTCTAACTGTGCTACATTCTCTTGTTAGTGACAATAAGTGAACATTTATCAAATAAAATTTCTGTAAAATGACAAAAAAGCATATTTCCCTGAGTAAGCATTTTACTAGTAAAAATGTATTGTTATATAGTCTTTATTCAATGATAGTTTATTGGGCAATTCTTCTGTCAAAGGCATTGACATGGTATGCCTCTGTGTCCTCAACCAAATCTCATCTCCAATTGTAATCCCTACGTGTTGAGGAAGGGATCTGGTGTGAGGTGACTGGATCACTGGGGCAGTTTCCCCCATGCTGTTCTCATGATAGTGAGGGAGTTCTCACGAGAGCTGATGGTTTTAAAAGAGCCAGTTTCCCCTGCGCATGCTCTCTCTCTCTCGTAGTATCTTTACAGCAGTGTGAAAACGAACTAATACAGGCATTATACTAGATACTTGAGGAGACACAAAAACGAATAAAGCACAAAACTTGCCCTCATAAAGGTCACAATTGCTTTCAAAACTATATTATGGAAACCATGACTGACACATGATAGAGCAAAGTTTACCATTTCTTAGATTATGATTTCCATAATGTATACATTGCCTAGCACAAAGTAGGTAAATAAAAACATACTTGATAAATGAATGACTTATCTGGCATTACTTCTAAATACTTTTTCCCTATCAGAAATTGGTACAAATGCTAAAAAGTTTATCTTCCAGTGATATTATCACTCCAATTTTCTTGTTATAAGACCTGGTAATAAAACATCTCTCTTGACACTTTCTGACATGGAAGGGCATGTACTTTAAGTTGCTGTGTAGGTAGTCATGAGAAACGTAGGCTGAAACATCTGCATTTTTATGGCACCTTCCCCCAGTGACCATCATCTGTATCTGGGTATCTGGGATACATCCAGACAGGGAATTAAGAAGGAACACCCACTCAGTTTTTGAGCATTACTATAAGCCAGGCTACCTCACCTACTTCAAGCCAATTTAAGATGAACATTATTTTCCAATATTTTACAGTGATGAAAACAAGGGCCCATGCATTTCATTCACATGCCTGGCTGGAATTCTACCCTGGCTTGGCTGTCTCCGCAGCTCCCCTTTGTCATATCTAATTGCATTTCAGTCAATGAAATCTTTTCTATTGAGAAGATACTCTTTAAAAAAAAAAAAGCCACCATTATTATTATCATCATTATTATTTTTTTAGACGGAGTCTCGCTCTGTTGCCCAGGCTGGACAGTCAATGGTCCTGGAATACACCATGGGTGTGAGGTCCCCTAAGGTGGGACTACATCTTGGGTTTATCTACTCCAGGCTTGCTAAGCTGATCATTTATGAAAAACAAAACAGTGAGATGAGTAGTACTATAACCATATCCAAAATGAAATTCTTCAATATTCAGTCCACATCTGCCAACCTCGCAGTTTTTTTTTCCTAACTTTCTAATGACTATCACACACTTCCTTGCTTTGTGTCAGTGTGACAAATCCGTCATTGCCTTTTTCATTAATCATTCCATTGGTTGAGTGACTCAGGCTGTCACAGAAAAGAAAATTATAGAATTATTTTTATGGAAAACAGACACTGAAACATTGTAATAAAATTTCAATTATTTTCACTCTCCTTGTTGAGAGAGGTTTTTTTTTTTTTTTTTTTTTGGCAAGATCAGATTCATTTATTCTTTTTGAATCATTTATTTCTCAATTTAATGATTCTCTGACCGCCATTAAGTACTTCAAAAGACAACCGGGTAATAAATCAAGTATGTTTTATTTTACCTCATTTGCCTTTTCCTGTATATATTTTATAGAACCCCATATTTCGGGGGAAGAATTTAGGTGTGACTGCCTTATGGATTAGAAATCGACTATATGGTCCCTTAGGCTTATAACAGTGATTCTGTAATTTTATGAACTATTGCTTCTTTTGTTCTGAGTTCTAATGAAAACAGCAACAACAACCAGAACTCTTGGTCCCGTGGCTTCTCTGACCTCCCCATGGTGTTCACCAGTGTGGGCAGCAGCTGGTCAATGAAGCCCCCGAAGTCTGTGAATTAACACGAACCTTCTAACATGGGATCAGACGCTGGCCTCATAAAAGCTCAAAGCAATACCAAAGCCATTTTAAAAAGAAAGAGGAAAAGTGTGGCCAGAAACTATCTGAACACATATTATTTTAGAATTTGGCAGGGACCTTCAAATGAGAAACTCAGCCAGATAAACATAACACATCGAACAGAATTCAAACTAGGTTAGCACTCAACACATCAGAATTTTAGGATGTCCTTATTATTCCTTTCTAATTATTAAAGGAGCTTCAAGCTGCAATTTCCAGCACTGCGCTTACTTGGTTAATTTTTCCCATGGTGACCATATTTCAAGCTGACCTCCAACAAGAAGGACCAGAGGTATTAGGGTGTGTTTGTACATGCTTGTATTTGCTGGAGCTTAAAGAGGCAATAAACTTCCAATTTTCCTCCTACATCAGAAGGATCTCAGAATTCAGCTCTCAGTCTTTTATTTCTCCCAGGAGAGAAAAAGGCCTCAACATCATAGTTGAATAGTAGTTTTGAATCTTGGTCTGCGATTTTTTTTTCCAGCCTGATGGAAATCCCGTGAGGAGTACATTGTACTTGTAAAAACAGAGAGAATGCAATGTTTGGTTAATTATCCAGATGTGTAAAAACACAATGAAATTGGATGTAGAGAAAACCTGTAATTGTGTCTTTTGCCTGAATCTCTCTTTTCTTATATGTTTCAACAACATACAGAGCCTACTTACTGTAACCTGCCATTTGGTTACACTCAAGGAAGGGAACAAGATTTCATAGCTAAAGTCCAGCTTCAATCAGCTCCTCCAGAGGAAAACAAACAGTGTCAGAGAATAATATTAAAATGGAAACAATGTCCTCTGACAGAAATTTCACATATGGTAGCAGTTACTATTGTTTAAGCTACTCTCATTTGACTACATTTCTCTGAAGTTTAGTAGGAAAAAAATAGATACACTTATACAGTCATTCTCTGCCTTGCTTCTAGGTACACATTTCATGGCAAAAAAATTCACAACTTTGTCAGTG